GCGAACCTGACCTCAGAGAAGGCGCTTCCAGGGGGCCGCAGTTGTGTGGAGGTCCTCTCCTCGGCCTTGCCCCGCTCCAGAGGCGGTCTCGCGCTGATAGCTGTTTCGCCAAGTCTTTGGCTTTCCCCACCCGCGGCGTGCAGCCTCGCCGCTCTTGTACAGATGCCTCAGGCTCGCGCCACAGCCGCTGGTCCCCAGCTTTGAGGTCCATCCGACGCGCCGGGGGGGCGCCCGGCAGGCCTCTCCAGGAGCTTTTTGCGTAGCCTCTGCGGCCTAGCAATCGGCCATTGTGGTTCTCTTGACATCTCCCAATTTTTTTGAGTTCAGATCCAGCCTTTTCTTTTGGCCCCACTGCGGTGTCTTCCTGGGGAGGAGGTGGAGGACGAGCGAGGGTGAGGAGGTGGAGGACGAGGGGGACGATGTAGAGGAGGAAAAGGACGAGGTGGATGAGGAAGTGCAGCAGGTTTCTCAGGAGGAGGATGAGGTTGTGGTCGGTGAGGAGTTGTACAAACAGGATTGGGATGCTGATGAAGAAGAGGAGGAGGATGTCGTGGTCGGTGAGGAGTTGTACGAATAGGCTTAGGATGAGTAGGAGGAGCAGTAGTAGTAGTAGTAGTAGTAGTAGTCGTCGTCGTCGTCGTCGTCGTCGTCGTCGTCGTCGTCGTCGTCGTCGTCGTCGTCGTCGTCGTCGTCGTCGTAGTAGTAGTAGTCGTAGTAGTAGTAGTAGTAGTAGTAGTAGTAGTAGTAGTAGTAGTCGTAGTCGTAGTAGTAGTAGTAGTAGTAGTAGTAGTAGTAGTAGTAGTAGTCGTAGTAGTAGGAGTAGTAGTAGTAGGAGGAAGAGGATAAGGCTCACGAGAGACTTGATGCTGCTTATGGTGGTGGTTGAGGTGATGACGAATACGATGATGATATGAGGGTGGTTATGGTGGTGTTGATGGTGACGATGTTGATGCTGATGATACTGATGACGATGATGCTGATGACGATGCTGGCGATGATGCTGCCGATGCTGATAATGGTGATGATGCTGATGATGATGATGATGATGATGATGATGATGATGATTATGCTGATGCTGATAGTGATGCTCATAACTATGCTGATCATGCTGATGATGCTGATGGTGCTGCTTATGATGCTGATGATGCTGATTATGATGCTGATGATGAGGATGCTGATGATGCTGCTGATGCTGATGCTGACGATGCTGATGTTGATGCTGATGATGATGCTGATGATGCTGTTGATGATGATGCTGATGATGATGCTGATGATACTGATGATGATGCTGCTGGTGATGATGATGTTGCTGATGATAATGCTGCTGCTGTTGATGATGATGCTGATGATGATGATGATGATGGTGGTGGTGGTGATGATGATGATGATGATGATGATGATGGCGAGGATGGTGATGCTGGCAGTGGTGCTGGTGATGATGAATACGCTGATGATGCTGACGACGATTAGATGAGGCGAACGACAACAATCCCCCTGAGGGGCAATTTGCCAGCACGCACAGTCACACGTACCACGCAAGGCATAATTTGTGTCGTCCGCAGGGCACGGTTCCAGCCCACGAAGGTAACATCGCGACGCGAACCGCGAGGGGTTCTGTGTTTTTGATGTGCCATTTTTCGTATGGTTGTCCTAGCCGTGCCTTGCGATGAGTAGCACCGTGCGTCCATGGTCCCGAGGTCAAAGATTGGGTCGCCTCAGTCGGGTTTCTTCTGAGCTTGGGACATAGGGGTGCAACAGTGCAACAGAGGATGACGAGGAGGGAGGAAGCAGTGAGGAGTAGGGACTAGGAGGAGGGGGACGAGGGGGATCCAGAAGTAGGAGGAGGAAGGATGAGGAGGGAGGAGAGAAGAGAACGAGGATGAGGATGAGGAGGATGATTATGAGGGGTATGATTCGGAGGAGGAGCACGGGGTTGGCTGGGGAGAGAAGGAAGAGGAGGAGGAGCAGGAAGAGTGCGGAGACGGATTGAGACGGAGCGTGGAGGGGAGTAGGAGTAGGAGAAGGAGTAGGAGTAGGAGAAGGAGGAGGAGGAGGAGGAGGAGGAGGAGGAGGAGAGGAATGGAGGAGGAGGAGGATGGGGAGGAGGAGGAGGAAGTGCATGGACGGATCAGAATATGTCTCGTAAGCATAACGATCAGGAGCGGGAGGGAAGATGACATGCCGCCGATGTCTCGACGGGCCCTCCCCTGTCGAGGGTTGCCCGGCGTATTCGTACGCCGGGCCCCATGCTGCCTCGAGTGCCCGCGGCAGCCCAGAGAGAGCCGTGCGGAAAATACGCCCCGGTCTGCTGGTTGCTTCCTCCCGGACTCGCAATGAATCACCGAGCGCGTTCCTCTACTCGCAAAGTAGCTGCTCGCAAACGCTCGAAAAACACATGCCTGCTTTGATGTGATTTCTCGTAGATCCCCCGCGGCGGATCCAGGCCATTTGCGAGTAGGTACTTTGCGCGTAGTGGAACACGCTCGTCGAATGAAGGAAAGGAGTCCTGAGGGAACGGATACAGAGTTTTTTCTCTGCCTGTCAGATGAAGACTCAGGGTGAGTCCTGGGGATAGGCGCCAGGGTCCAGGACCTAGGACCCATTTTTCTCAGGACCCGCTTCTTTCATGGCAACCGATTCTCCAGGCCTCCCCGATGGGGTCCGAGCACTCGGGGTCGGAGGATCGCACTGCATTGGTGATGCGGCTCTATGTGGAACCGCGTTTTCTCCACGCCGACGTCGCCGATGCATCGCCGATGCATCGCCGATGCATCGGCGATGCATCGGTATGCGGCGCGATCCTCCAATCTTCTGTGCTTGGACCCTACTTGGGTGGCCACGAGTTCACCCGCGCGGACCCGAAGGTCCTCGCGCCAAGCGCGTCGCGGTCTGGGCCAGAGCGGCCGCCCTTCTCCAGGGGCGGCGCGAGGGCGAGAAGGTACTCGCGCGTCGGGCATCGCGGCGCGCAACGAGCACGACATCAGGTGTTAAGTCGGTCGGGCATGTCCCTGTACAGGACGAATATTCAGAAATAGTAAAAACTAGTATAGGGGACGATTTTATGATTATTTGTTCTGGCTGTTTTTGAGTATTTTTTGAATATTCTTTATTTTTGTTGCCCAATTCCGCCTGTAGGGGGACATGCCCGACCTAAATCAGGTGACCTAGGGAACACAGCATTGCACGTACTTTTTGTTCAAGCGGCCCGCGGCGGAAATTCAGCCCCAGGGATGGAATCGGGAGGGCCCACATCGTGAAGAAAATACGTCCCCGGATTTTTGGACTCCGCACGTTTTAAAGCAGCCCCAGTTCACGAGCAAATAGTTCCAGAGCGTTCTGAACTGCTCTCAGAGCGTCCAGGAGCGCTCTGGAATTGCCACGTCTGCCGCACATGCTCCCCAGTGTCTAGACTCGCGGGCTCCAGATCCTCGAGCAATTTTGCACTCGATATTGTTCGAAATGTTCTTCCTCGTGTTATTACCGCTCTCTCACTAGCTCTCTCTCTCTCTCGAACCTCCCTGTCGTCCTGGAAGTCTGATGAGGGGTTCACTGTCACAGCGGTGCGTTGGGTTCGTGGGGTGGATTTATGTCAGGCATTAGAGTACTGGCTGTCGCGTTGGCATTGGACGAGAGAGCATCTTTCTACTTATCTGTCCTGTCCCTGCCCCACCCGTTTCCATGTCCCGTTGCCCATTCTTATTCTTGTCAAACATCGTTCTCTTTACCGCTACCGCTATCCACGGCCACATGTACACCTCCGCGTCCATGCGTATCCAGATCAAGCTGCCTGCGTCAACCGCGGCAATTCCCGCCACCCCGCCAGCCCAGCACTGGGTGGTGAACCTTTTGAGGAGCGCGCGAGAAGCCGTGACTCGTGTGACACCTCGTGTCCCGAGACCAGGGATGGCCGTCCGTATAGCGTGTGACTCGTTGTTCCGACGCGTGCCACGGTGTCCCTCCATGTTTTTGTTGTCGTATTCCTCATGGCGCCAACATCGCAGAGCGGATTTCGTTCGGAAAACGATAGGGTGGGTCCAGGGTGTCCTAGAGAATTTCGTTCCGGATTTCGAGGTGAATTTCGTGCGGACTTTTTTGGGCCAGGAATGAAGACCAACAGTAATCCACGTGAAATTCACTTCGTTTTTCACTCGCCGCTTCGGGCAAAAATCTACGCAGAAATCCACGCAGAAATCCGCTGCAGCACGTCTGCAAGGCCGGTGCAATGATATTCCTCCCTTCCTCTTATTGCCTCCTCTCTCTTGGGGCCTCTTTGGGGCCCTTGGAGGCCTCTCGGGGATGTTTCGGCCCCCTCGGGGCCTCTTGGGGGCTCTCTGGAGCGCTCTGAGGCGCTTTTGTGGACAGTATGGCTCCTTCGGAGTCCGTCTTGGGAGCTTTCCTCGGCCGTTCTGGGGCCCGAGTGGGTCTGAAGGGACCTCTTCGGGTCTCTCGGGCTGTCCTGGGGCCTCATGTTGCCGTCTTGGAGGCCGCTCAGGCTATCTTGAGGGCCTCGTGGGCCGTCTTGAGGCCCTCTTTGGGGCCTCTTGGGGCAACCTTGGAGGCCTCTTGGACTGTCTAGGGCTCAAGGAATCCCGAACAGGTGACATCGAAAATTGTTTGAACACCCTCAGGGTGATCAATGAGTTGGGACTCTTCGGGCCTCCCGAGGGTCCTCTTGAAGCCCTCCTGGGCCGTCTTGGGGGCCTCCTGGAGTCTCTTGAGGCGATCTCTGGACGTTTTTTGTACCATCCTGAGCCGTCTCGCAGGCATGTGATAGTTCTCTTACTCATCGTTTTGTCGATCGGCGCGGGCCCTCGTACCCCCGCCCCGCCCCTCCCCCGTGGAGTAGATCTTGGCTGTCTGGGGCGCCTGTTCCGAGCGGGTGGGGTCTCCCCCATAGGACGCGTTGCTGCACACAGTCGCACGAAGCAGAGGCCGGGAGCCAGACCCTCCCCCCCTACCCCCCCCCTTCCGCCCAATGTCGGAACGCCGAATAAGATAAC